ACACCATTGTAAAGCAATTATACTCCAATAAAGATGTTAAAAAAAAAGAGTAAAGCAGAGATGTAAGTCTAGATTTGACTTCAAGTTAACATTCATATCATTTGGGCAAAAGTTATTGATTATATCCTTACTGCCAAAACTAATATGTGACTCTTAGTCATAATCTTACCTGACTTCCTTTTGGTGTGTGACATTACCGATAACTGCCTTCTTCTTGAAACCGTTTTTATCCCTGACTTGTGACAGTACTCTCGTCCAGTTCTCTACCTGCTATCAAACTATTTCTTCTCAATTGCCTTTGTGGACATTTTCCTCTGCTTTTTCTTAAACGTCATTGTCCCTCAGGATCCTGTCCTTGCTGTTTGATCTTGTACTACAAATCTTCCTGGGAAATTTCAGACATTTCCATGACTTCAAGAACTACCAATACACTGGTGATTTCTACATTCCTGAGTCTAGACCCTACTGAGTCTCAGGTTTATATTTTTAACTGGTTATTATGACAGCATAACCCAGAACTACATCAAGTTCAATATGTTCAAATATAAAATCTATGCCCATAAACTTTTTCTGGTGTTTCTTAAATATCAGAATATATCTCTTTGTGCATTTTCCTAATTTCTGCCATATCTTCTGGAAAGCACAGTTACTAACAGTATAGTAGTCTTTTGTCTACAGGGACAGTATCAAGGTCTTTGGAATAGGAGTGAGGGAGAATTAAAATGCATGGAGGATCTAATAGGACAGGAAGTTGTTGCAGCCTTTTATGTACATCGTGGAATCAATACCTGCAGTTATTAATCAGTCCTAATTATGAACAGGAGAGATAAGACTTCTGAAGACTTCTGTTGAACTTTCGTGCATGTTTTAAAAGGAAACAGTCACTATCCTGCTAATTTTCCATTTGTTTGTTTTGCTCCAGTCACAGTAAACCTCTTTTTATTCCTTAAGTGCTTTTTCCCACCTCTGAGATTTCACATGTGCTTTTCCTTCTGCCTGGAATATTCTTCCCCATCCCTGCCACCTTTGCCCTGCAATTTCCTCATCATTTTTATCATCTGATTCAAAAGTCACTTTCTCAGAGAGACCTTCCATATACAATCTAAAGCCCAGCTATTCTTCCTAATTGACCCTGTGATTTTTCCATTATAGCAGTTATCACACCTTCCACTTATATGTTAATCTGTGTGCTTTCTTGTTTAATGCATATATAATGCACTAGGTTATAAACTCAGTAAGGACAAGTATGATGTCTTTTTTTAAAAAAACTTCTATAAGACTACTGCTTAGCAATGCCATGTACAGTGTTAGTTACCAATAGATGTGTTAAGTAAATGAATGTTTTGATAGTCTATATTTATAATGTAGCCACTAGCCACACAAGGCTATTTAAATTACAATTAATTAAAGTTAAATAACATCAAAAATTCAGTTCCTTAGTCATACTAGTCAACACTAACATGTCAACATGGCTACCATGCTGTAGATAACAGATACAGAACATTCCCATCATTGCAGAAAATTCTATATTAGACAGCACTTGTCTACACCGGGCAATTAATTAAAGAGTGGTAATAAATTAAGGACCTTTTAGAAATTGACACATACATTCTATCTTAGAAATATCTCTTGTACTTATATGTATCTCTTCATTCCTACTTTCTTTAAGGAACTACCTAACAGGTCTCCCAGTCACACATATTTCTCAGTCCAGATATATTCTTGAAATAATTAATTGCTAAACACCTATCAAGTCACTTCTCTTCCTAAAAACATTTATAACTTCTCATTGTCTACACAACAGAGCTGAAACTCCTTACCATGAAAATAATACTGCTTATCTTCCAATTTACCAGAATTTATGGAATAACATTGCTCCCCACTACCCCTCGAGTTCCACTGACAGCAAGATTTCACTGTTCTTTAAACAAAATATACTCTGTCACAATGCTGCCTGAAATGCCTATCCTCCTTTCCTGTCCTTGGTGTAGTCCCCCTACCCCTGTAGGACTCAATTTTTGAGCTTCACTGAATGCACAGAGTTCTCAGTCTGACCTCGATCACATTATATTGTGATTAACTGTTTATGTCTCTATTACCCTCACTGCACTCTAAGGTTTTAAAGAAAAGGGACAGTGGTTTACTCAGCTCCCAGTGTCTAGTCTACTGCACTTTGCACAGAACTTATATTTTCTTGTTGAAATAATGAAATGATAAAATAATGAAGGAATGGGTTACAAAATTGAAGAGATTCACCCTTATCCTGTAAACAATTCTTTGTTCATTTTGTGTAATTTTTGCTTATTTCCAAAAGCTCCTCCCCACCAATCACTATATATTACTGACTCTAACAGTAATGTCTTTGACAGGTCAATAAAACAACTTTTACTTTTTAGTGGCTGAAGACATAGGGAGCTCTTAAACTGTCAACAGTTTTTCATTGGCCTGAAGGTTATCAGGTAAAGATGAAAACAAACAATAATAACAAGAACAACAAAACCTTAATATTTCCAAATAAATAGGTACTGTGGAAATATCCTGGTGGAACAAATAGTATAAAGGACTCTCATGTTACTGACAAGCTCTGTAAATTCAGAACAGTGTACACAGTTACTCTTAACTCTCTCTAGCATGCTCTCTTCCTTCTTAGCTTTGTTTATATCTATTGAACTTAATTTTGTTTCACAGCATAGACATACATTACATTACTACCTGTTGAAAACAGAAAAACAATATTATAATAACCTCATGGGATAAATAAAATGAAACAGAGAGGAATAAATATGTTCCCCCAAATGTCACAAGAACATTTTTTATGTGAAAATAATGTGTAACAGCAACAATGATGCTGAAAAGCTATTTTTTAATTTAAGCTTGTTATTGTTTTGCAGGACATTCTTTTTTAAAAGACTTCAAGTCATTTTTAATCTCGACAGTGAAGTCTCCACTTACGAGTGCTCACTTTTTACTGCACTTTAATCCTAAATTAATAAATAAAGTTAGTAACTTGGGCAGGGTGGGAGGCAATTAAGAAATTACAAAGATGCATTTAAAACCAAATATTGTAAACAATGACCAGTGGATCATATGTGTAGTGGGAAATGCTGAAGAGGGTGCTAATTGAAGACAGGGATTGAGTAAAGAGATACATCAATTTAAGAAGAACCTCTATTATCTCTCTTTTTTTTTTTTAAGGAAATTCATCCATCACAAGTCCCTATTTGATATCACAGTTTGTTAGCTTTTTATCCAAACACAATAGCATGACAAAATCTTGCTGTGTGGCCTCAGAGTTTTTTTGTGGCGGGAAGACTTAGGTACTACAATTCTCTGTCTTTTCAGTTCTATAGGAGTTTGTTCATAAATAAAATATCCCATGGCGGATACTTAAAGTCTAGATTATATTTTTATGATACAAATTTATAAATGGGGCAGCTAAATTTTTCTTTAATATGTTTCTCCACCTCTAAAATTAACTTTCAGTATATTTAGTATGAGCGTAAAAACATTACTTGGTTATAAATGAATTTCTATCAAATGGATTTGACCTATCAAGAAATAAGTATTGAACTGCTTCACAAAACCCACACTTGTTATACATGTGCTCATCACAGAGTGACTCTTAAAATACATTTAATTGATTGTAAATCTCTTATGACATACTTAACGTGGTTCATTTATACAAATGATGTCCATCCACAGCACAGCTTTCCGGCTGGGATACTGTTGTTCTAAGGCATGCTTCAGTACACTCACACGCTATGACTACTCCAAGCAATGGCCATTCATCTCTCAGCGAGAGGCTTCAAGAGAAATGACTGTGAATTCTTAGACTCTGAAAGAATGAGGATGCTTTTTAGAGAATCTGTCCCCTGGGGGTGAAGGGATCAGTGGGGGACGGCATTACTGGCTAGGACACTAGGTAAAGAATGATCTGCACTCACAAGTTTGGTCTCATTCAAAAGCCATGTTATCATTAGCACTCTTAAGTGCGATGACGGTTTATATTTCTGTCCCTGGAAGTGTTCAAAAGCCTGAGGGCACAGACTGAGAAAAAAAGTGATAGGCTCAGATGGAAGAAAATGAAAAGTTTGTACAAGACCAAAGAAAGCTTCCCGCTGAGAGTATTTATTAAGTTAACAGCTCTTCCTCTTAATAACTGAGTTAATGCTGAAGGTGTCTGGCCATTTAAGAGAAGGGATTTCAGTGAAGATAAATCCAACTAACAAAAGAATATACTGAAAAGTACGATTCCAGTAGCATTTTTATTCTATAAAGCTTGTATTCACTCAAATGAGAACTTTGATGGCACAAAATGGGAGTGTTTCATAGAGTTGCTGTTTTCCTGTAATTTACACAAAATGGCAATATTAAAAAGCAAATTTCAGTGTTCTTCAAGATAAATGTTTTGCCTTTTGGATTGTTTTCTTTCCTTCCTATCCCATTTTTCTCTCAGAACCTAATCTAGGTTAATGCTCTAGAAAGTATTTTAATAATAAGACTATATAACTGCATTTTCAACTTATTTGATTCACGTAAAGATACATAATTTTACATGTGATGTGTTTTGATAAAAATATGGGATATGATTTTGTTAGTGTTTAAGGAACTCTAGTGAGTATGCTAAGTTACTTTCAATTTCAAAATAAAATTATTTAATGTACAAAACATTTTAACTTCCATGGATCAGGACAATACAGTGATCTTACTGGGAACAGTAATAACTGGCAAAGGGATAGCCCACCAATAAAAGGAGCAAGCTGCCCAGGAGATCTAACTCAAACCTGGGGAATAGCTCAGGGATTGGAAAAAATAATTTGTAGTATTGGAAAATTTTGCATCCTTCTTTTTTCTTTTTACTTTTGGATCTCAAAAATTATACATGTAAGATAATATGAATGTATTCTACCATTTATGAATAATGGAATTAACTTCAACATTACATGGTTAATTATTCATACACATACACATATGCCTTAAGTGGAATAAATATATCTTGCCTTACAAACTCTTCCAACTCGAGAAAGGATGGTCTTATCAGAAGTACTCCCTTCTTGAGATGATTCACGAAAGAAGAAATATATTTTATCATCATCTGGATTATAGGTGTCTGGGATGGGGAAAGTTCCAATAAATTTTGCTCCTGTTTGGAAGAAAAGAAGCTATACATTAAAATACTGAAATAATTCAGCCACAATAGTACTGGTGTCTTTTGTATGTAAAACAATTAGCAGCAGAATTAGAAATAAAAACATCAATGAAATGTGGGAAATGAGACATATACACAAGTAAACATGACACAGAGCAGGAACATGTATTAGCTCAAAGAGGTCCTGAACAAGTTCTTTAGGACTCTGGACATCAGGTGAGAACACGACTGGCTGAGATTCACAATTGTTTCAATTCAACTAAATTACATAGAAAAGTCCTTCTTTCAAACCTGGAGATTCTGTGATTTTATATTTTCCTTTTTTATGATTGCAGTCACTGCTTCTAAACCAAAATGTCCATTATGAAGAGCTTAGGAAAAACTATAAACATACCCCAAATTTTGATATATTATGATGTTATTTGTTGCACTTTGTGTAACTGCCAAAAAAAATTGAAACAACCAATAATGCTTGGGTCAAGTCCAGTGTTGGCTCTGAAGACACTCTTTCCAACTTGATATCCTGTTTCTGCCGCTTACTGGAAAAGTGACTTTGGGCAAATTGTTTATCTTCTCTATGCCTCAATTTTCTCATACCTAATATGAGGCTACCAATATCATCTACCTAGTAGGGTAACTGATATGATAATCAAGTGAATTGATATATGTAATGTGCTTACTATCTGGTAGTGCGTGACACATAATAAGGGTTTAATAAATGTTATTCATTATTAAAAGGATGTCTGGGATGATAATAATTATTATTAGGACCACAAACAAGAGAATGATGGAAAATTCAGCACATCCATACAATTGTTACAATAACATGTAGTTATTAAAAATGAAGTAGCTCTAAATGTACTGCCATGGGAAGATGTCCACCATACAAATCAAATGAAATAATAATGGCAATACAATTAACTCCTTTGCACTGCATCAATGACAAGTCAATTTGGGTTACTAATGCCTTGTTTTAAAAGTACTGGACCTTTTAAGTCTTGGTTTTATATAACCGGGAGTTAATCAGGTAACAGATTTGTAATTGGGTGATACTAGTTCAGAAACAATCATTTTGATTGAAGCAAAGAAGACAAAGAGTGGTTATCGAGGAATGAAGGACTTCAATTAAGTAGAAAATACAGGATGCCTCAAAGAAAGCACAGAGCACTCTTTAGGAAGCAGAAGCAGGAAACAAGAGAAGACAAAAAGTTTCCCCCAAAATAAATAAATATAATAAGTAGGAGGTGAAAAAAAATTAACATTGCCTTCTCTAGAGTTTTGACCAAGGCCCCGATTGCCAGATACTCCAGGAGTACTGACAACTATTCCCCTGCAAATGTAGAACAGTTGGTCAGTAGCCCAGTAAACAAGACTTCACAATAGACTCTTCAACAGAGAAAAGTTAATGTTTGATTCCAAGTGATGAGTAGTTCAGTCTTTATCATCCCAGCCTTGCTGGGTCAACCCTGGGTCTCTCATCCAGTCTATTCTCTGCTTAAATGGGAAACCTTAGGAGGAAAAGAGAGGCGGGAAATATGTGCATGATCTTTTTCCTTTTTGTTATTATTTCCCTGTCCTTTCTCTGGAACTTAGAACTCCAGTGTATTTTTATGCCCTCAATAATCTCATTTTGATATGGTCCTAAATTACATAAAAATTAAATTTTAGAAAATCATACAGGATTTAAAAAAAATTCTTTTCTAATTAATCTTAAATTAGCAAGGTCCATTAACAATTCCACTCAAGGCTTTTTGTTTTTGATTTTGTTTTTCCCGCCAGCCCCTCTTTTAAATTGTTTATACATCACTTAGTTTTGAATCCCTGAGCAAGGTTAAAATTCTTTTGTAGTCACAAATTAACACTTCTAATTTTTGACTTCAATATATCATGTTTTCTTAAAAAAAAAAAAAACTCTGTGGAAATAAAATTTCTTACAAATGTAGCATTAGGATTTTAGCAAATTCATGAAAACAAAGAACATATCTAATTACTACTATATTCAGGGCACTTAGAATAAGAAAAACTGCTAGGATAAAGAATACAAAAGTGAATAAGAACGGACTCTTCGCTTCAAACCAATTACAATCTGGATTAAGAAAATATTAACATATAGCCAAGATATGGCTAAGAAGAAGACCCAGTCTTGATGTTTCCAATGACTTGAAAGGCGATTGCCAACAATGAGTAGAGAAAAAGACAACTGTGGGTTCCCACCGACACAGATCAGGCATTAATAATAATCTACAGCACGTTTTTTTGAATTTACAGAGGCCTGAATTCAATGTCATTGACCTACCTGGATGCAAATCTCCAGTGGCACTAGCATGTGAATTTTTAAAATATATAAATAAAAATAAAGAAATAAAACCTTATAGGTGATTCTTACAAGAATCTAAGAGTCACTGCCATAGATTACCATTTCGTATACGGGAAAAGGACATAGACAAGACTCATTAACGCTAGGTCAGTAATGCAGATGTGTGTATGGACAGGAGGAGTGAAGACTGATAATAAATACAAGTCCTTCATAATTAGAGTGGGACAAAAAAGGGATAAAACTGAAACTATACAGAAATTACAGGAATATTATTGCCTTGTTTTATCTTAACAAATATATGAGCTTAAAATGGGGATGACACAAGTAGAATTTATCACAGCACTTAAATATAACCTAAGTAGAAGTTATCCACGGAGCACGATGACCCTTGTAATTTTAGTATCAGAACTACTTCATGATTAAGTTGAATTTGTACTTTTAAAAATAACATAGTGGTACAAAATTTGCAGTCTTATCTCCCCAGAGAGAAAATAAGATCTCAGTTATTTGAAACAGAAAATCATTACAGGTAGAAAGGATTCCAGCATGAGGGAGAGAGTTGCTTGTAAAGGTTTTCTCAGACACACCGATAGGAGAAGCAGTTACGTGAACTGATTGGTGGTCTCTCTCATTTGCAGAGTTCGACAAGAGAAACATAGCTCTACAACACAGCAGAATGTACTCGGCCTAAAAGTTAAACAAATAAATACGGTAATACACAGTCTGTTGTAGAAATACACAGAACAGGCCCGCTTTGGCTACGTGAAACATTATCCAGGTGTTGTTGCCAGGTACTGCCATTTGAAATGGTCAAAAGTTAGAGTATGACACCAGTCCCCATTCCAGGAATTTCATTATAATATCAGTGGGGCAAAACAGAATACTTTTCCAAGTTACATTTCTTTTCACTTTCAACTAATACATAACATAGATGTTCTTGTGTTTATTCAGTGACTGTTGGTTTTACTGGCCTCTTTTTTAAATGTTGGTTCTTTTTCAAGTACTATAAGGAAATTATTCTGGAGTACTGTAAGAAAATTAAATGGTAGAAGTGTTTAAGCCAAATATTGATTATGTGAAGGAATCTAATTATGAAAAAAAGAGTATCCCATAGTACTCTATTCTGTGATTTAAATAATAAGTAATTTTGAGTTAAAAATAAATACTTGTTTCAAGAATAGAGTTTTCTTTCTTCCCAACTGTGGTCCTATGTCTTAGAACACTGATGTTAGTATTTTATGATAGAAACTCCTTTTTGACTTGCTGCCAAGTTTGTGTAAAAATAGATATCATTTCATCAGTATATGACATGCATAGTTGAATTAAGTAATTTAAAATCATACCAAGGGACACCTGGGCTTTATTTATAGCACATTTTTCCCCTGTGGCATTTGAAACACACGCCTTAATAGGGATGGAGTTTGAAATCATGCATTTTCACAAATGAACTTTTAGCATGAAACCAGGAGACACTGCCAAATGAAAATGGCATAAATCCTCACGGCCTGAAATGCACATCACTTTCATTTCTGCTTAAGAACCTCTTTTCACCCAGATGAGCACACCTACACCATGACTTAATACATAGTGAGTTCCTTACTTTCCTTTATTTCTTCTTGTAATATCTTTTTCCTACCACTTTTGAAAAATGTTATCCTTCTGTGTGGAAGAAGAATTTATAGACAACAGTACTCCAAGAGAAACTTCAAATGAAAACTGCCTCCACATGTTAGAAATGAAAATTTGAAACAAAAGTTCTCATCTACTCCAGGAAAGAAAACAAAAACATATGCATCTGAGGCATCATTATTTGTTTTCGTTTTCCAAATGGTCATACTTCTTAGTTTTATCCCCAAATTCTCATAAAAGCTCAACTGTGTTTGAGTAACTGCTCTGACATGTATCTGTATTCCCATTTCCTGCTATGCTGTACGATTAAGCTGATAAAGAAAAGTGTGGAACTATCTAAGTCTTCGTCTAAAACTGCCATCGGACTTCATCTTTGCAATTTTTCTCTCTCCTGGTGAGGTATTTAATAGGTGGGTTAATTTCTCAAAGAAGAAATCAAGATTCATACTTCTATGTCTTTTGGCACTGGATTAGACAAAGTCCCACAGAAAGTCTGACAAGGACCTTAGGACTGGTAACTGAAGAGATTAGCTGATCTCACTGGTTAAATCCAGGCAGTGCAAAGAACAAAATAGGGCATACACACAAGCATCAAAGATTTTAAACTGCCTAAGCGGTTCA